ACTTTCACCACATCGACAGCATGACATCAGTGTTCAACACCGATACTTCACTGCCGAGATTACTTTCGACGGGCTTCATCGCTGAAAGTCACTCCTAGTCATCGTGGTTGTTGATATGGAGCATCCGTGCTGAGTACCAGGATTTGTGAACTCCGTTTCGAGACCTGTGGTTTACTTGGATATGTAATAACACCTTAGCAACTTCTCAGTAGATATCACTGTTCATTGGTTTTCCCGTTTACTGCCTTTAGTTTTCATTTTGGACCCTGATTTTTTCTCTGTCTCCTGCATTTTTGTAAATCATTTTTAACAACTGGAGTGAATTCCTAAGTATTCTAGCTTTCCTTCTTCAGTTGAGTGAATGTTTGCTTATTTCGTTGACCTGAATTTGCTATACGGTAAAGAATCATCCTACTTTTACACGTTGAGTGGAAATTTCGGGTAATTGGCAGCGTCAGGTTTTCGCCTCCGCTGTCTAATCAATATTGCATGTTTCTTTGTACCAGTGTCTTTATTTCTGTAACCCTTTTTCTCCCACATTGCCTTTATCTCGTACAGTAGACATTTTTACATGCACTGACCCTACACACCCGCAGTTACCCGCCGGCCATTCACCGGTTCCGTTCGATTGAATTTATGGTATGCGTGCACTCAGTAGTCCCAGTTCTATCCGTCGCATAGGGTTACCGTATTGGAAACGTGAGGCACGCTTTCGGGGCGAATGTGGGCGAACAACTTCCCCTGCTAGTAGTACTTTACGTAGCCGGGAGAAGGGCCCGGCCAACGTCGCAACCTATTACCCAAAGGGGTCTAAACAAATCATGTCGGTGTTTTCCCGGGAGGCTCACAACCGAAGGAAAGCTAGGAAATGATAGCGATCAAATTATACTACTGCCACATTCTCACGGACGTGATCGCTGTTCATTTAACCACTGTCAGCTGCAATTCGGGACCCGCATATATTGGGTAAGAAAGCGCTGAGATATCTAGTGTGAGGCATTTTGCGTAGTGCCGGTCACCCACGACTTTGATAGCAGTGCAATTCCGGTGTTTTCTACTGTTTGCCTCACCCCTTGCAACATCTTGCCCACCAATAGCAACGGATACGGAGCTGGTGTACTGCTGTGCCTAATTCAACACAAAGTTACCCATTTTAGCCTACATACTGTCTAGGACCTGTTTAAATGCGTCTGTCTTGCGATACTGGTGGCTCAGCCAACGGGACAGTCATGTTCGTTGCGATGTCAGTCCGTACATTCGATGCATGAACACAACTGATTGTCCTAATTGTCATAAGGCATCTTACAGAGTAGCGTCTTTCGTTAGCAACCTCTAGTAGGGCGATCGAAAGTAGAGTCCGATGTTCGGAGAGCGTTTAACGCTACATTTTTGAGAATGTCAGGTGAATTTTCTTGAGAAAGAAACATCACTAACTCTACCTTGCTTCCAACGCGAAAAGCAGTGCTTCTGACTTCAAACTATTTAGTTTCTAATAATGTTTCATAAACATATGGTGAATTATCGTACTTACGTCATGGCTTTGGGGCAGGAAAATGAGAGAATTGCGTCGTCCTCTCTGTGCTCGGAATCATACATTATTTCTCGATTGCATCTAATAAACTTAGGTGTTTCTTACCATTGTGATTAATATGCTTACACCGGATGTCTGTTTTCACGAGGCGTCATGTAACCCGTTGAATACACCACATCATATGTCCAGATAAAAAAAACTAGGTACGTCATCGTCATCATCATCATCAGTTGTAAAAACCGCATGCTTGCCGTACAGTGGTTCCAGCTGCCTTAGTTTTACTCGCCGACGATTTTGGAAGCCACATTGGAGGTAGTTGGGAGATGTGTAACGGGCACAATAGTGATCTTGACTTGACCTGCTACTAAGTCAGACTAATATGATTCTTGTATTAAACCAGCTCTTTCCTGTCGACCAGCAACTAATATGGGCTATCGTAGCAGTCGTATAATCTTATTGCGATCGTTTTTCAGTTTTCCACCTCTCCTGGAAGGCGTGCGGATCAAGAATTGTAAAAGCAAAGTTGTTTTCACAAGATTCGGTTGGTCCGATTTGGTTGCGGAACGTAGCAAATATCCAAGCCGGCTATTTTTTAATTCAAATTCTGACAATGAATTGTTTTCCTACTGCTCACCTAATGAACAATTTTAGGTCTGCCGTCCTTCTGTTGGTACTACTGAAGGTTCGGGCAATGTAGTGCACGAAGTGTACCCTTATTTGTTTTCACTCCCAATTAACCTCCTACACGATATATCCAGCCGCTACTTCACCGTGCTATTTTGTTTCAGTCAACTGCTCAGTCTGGGAAGGTGATAAGATGTCCAAATTTAACCTGAACATGTTGGAAATTGGTTGCAGTGTGATTAGGGTAAGTTAACCCAGTTTTTCAATGATTTCTGTTCTGTCACTTGTTTCATCAATAAGCCTTTTGTTTTCTTCATATTTGTTCCTGTCTCGAATGACCTTCACTCACCCTCATGACTTGGCTCAGGGTCTTTCAGAGCCCCTCCGAAGAACAATGTCACCTACAGTAGCACACTAGTTTCTTGTGTAGGCAAACTTAACAAATCAAATGAACTTTTTCGCTAATTTTGGGCTAAAATGTTTTCGAAAACACTTCCTAAGGATCCCAGTTCAATTTTAACTCTCGGTCATCATATTCCCAACGTTCCCCTGTTTTCATGTGTATTAATCGGTCGGAAACAAGGAACATGGTTTACGAAACACAGCCTCTGGGAATGCGAAGTGTTAGTCTAACCACCCTCAGTCGTAACCGATACGGTCCGTAAATATATTGATGTTTATTTTCCAAAAGACATTCGTCTTGGTTGTAATACATTTCAGATATTGGACCTCTGATGTTGAGATGGCTGAGTGTCTAAGGCGCGAACTGATTATCCGAAGAGTTCAATGTTCAAGCCTGACCCCGACATCTTGTCAACTTCTGTCTAAACTTGTCGTTACTTCACAATCCATGTTGCAATCATCTGATGAACTGTGAACTCAAGTATAGGTATCTTAGTACCGAGCAGCCTACCTCCCGAATTCGAATACTTCAACAATGCTGAGGTCTTAAAGAATAGTGTGTTTTTATCACACTTCAGCTGGTGTATTCATTACCTTGGCTGTTGTGTGTGCTGTCAGTTGTGCTTTGTCTCCAGACTGGTGTATTTGGGTTTAACAGGCGGTGGACCCTTTATTTATCTGGAAACTGCTTTCAATGGTTTATTGTCGTAGAGATCCTTATTGCAATGACGATCCCTGTCAACACCAGCGCACTTCATCGTCATCGCAATTGCAGAAAAGCATTACTATGAAATGAAAGATACCCAGCGCTATCGATCCAAGTGTTTCCAATACCCTTACACCACCAAGCAATTATTTAGACAATGGCACAGAGGCCGAAAATAAGGATTTAATTACATCGTTTCTCAGCCGTGGTTTCCAGCCAGGCACCAGCGTATTCACCTGACTCACCTTGCAACGAAAGACTGGATAACTTAAGGTTTTATGCCAAACATAGCACTCTAGATGCAGTATTGTGTATTTTTTGCCGCTATGGTGGTATCACGGTAGTTGAGTCCAGTAGACTTTCCGTAGCCAGGTACTACGCAACTCGACTGGATCATCCAGTGGTGAGATTAAACTGAAAAGCAAAAGGACGAATAGAAAATGGACCCAAGCAACCTGAAACTGTCGGGCAACAAACGGAACAAATTTCTCCATGAAATACGAAGTTCTCTTACTGACTGGCAGCCTTTGACACCACTTTCAGCTTCTGATGCGACCACCACCACTGATATAGTTTGCCAGTTCAACTGTACGGTAGATGTGCTTCTTCCCAGTCTTCCAGTGTAGGCTTCCGTCTGTCTTGAGATATGATTATTCCGGTTTGTGGTGACCTACTGGTAGCTTGTCAAGATCCGGCAGTTCAATAGTAATTTCACTAGTACAACCGAAGTACAACAGATTCAAGAGGGTGACATCTACAAAAGAAAGCTCAATCTTTTCCCACAGTCCTGTAAACGATTTTCCCTGTGTGTCATTAGTGATGGCTTCATCGTAATTTATAATGACCTATTCACCAATCTGTTAACATTTTCGCATTCTGTTTTTCCGCCGCAGGCCGTCGAACGACAGGGGATTTCATCTGACTACATTGTTTTGGCTTGCTTATCTGCTGCAATCCTTCCGCTTCTGTCGGTAACATTTCATTGGAACCATTCGCAATCGCCCATTAACGGACAAAACTCCACACTTGAGGCATTGTCAATTGTTGAGGAAACCCAAACAACGTTGTCCGCCTCGCTGTCTGCCGACTCCCAGTTACCGACAATCCTTAGTGACAGCTTATTGGGAATGCACCTACGGGTTTTGTTCTGCGTGGCTAGTCGAATATTAACTTTTCTAACGATGCCGGTACGTTGGTCAATGGACCTCGTGGGCCTAACTGATGGACCGGTTGCTCTTTTGTCAGCGCTGTGGCACGTTATCAGTGGTCGGTGGATCCTTTGTCTGTTACAAACGCCTGATATCCAGTAAGTCAAATGTCCAGTGGGATTTCTTATGCTATTGTGTTTTTTCAGTCCATGTGTTTTGTATTGATAAATGCGTCGGTTTGACATTAATTTGAAGCCAAATCATCTTTTGACTGCAACAGCAACACGGTTTTGGTGTACCGCTGCGGTACAAGCATCCAATTGCACATGCTCTTACTATTCCTCACGTGACAAATCCTTGACAACCGTCGCATAGGTCGGAAGTGGGAACGGCTTGTCTTGTTTTTACTTTCAGTTCACCCTTCGTTCGATTTATTTTTCCAGAGGTCGTTTGGTGGTGCTTCTTGGAGTAATTCTACGGTTCAATCTTTATGCTGTCATCTTCTTCGTTCTGTGTATTGCTGAACGAACCTTTCAGCAGGTAAGCTACCATACGTGTTCTTCACATGCATCAAGGAAGTTTTCGTGCCTGAGATAGAAAAGTGAATATTGCTCTTTCACGTTGATTCCCTAGAAGTTCAGCTTTAATTTGTACCATCAATCCGTGATATGATCGAGTGTGCTTCCTGATATTAATCTTTCCGGTCTCCGATATCCTCTCGTCTGCTGCAAAGTCCCCGAGTTCTAGCTGGAATAGTCCTAGTGGAATAGCTTGGAACGAATGATTGGGAGTGAGTGGTGTCACATCAGGTACATTTAGACAGACTCGTGTGTTCTTCGTTCCCTAGTTGGCTACCACCGTACGAGACCTATCTATGCTGAATGTTCTGATATTTCATTCCACAACCGCGTTGTATAGGCCATTGTCTGTTAACTGTTCACACGCCGTGCATCCTTCATGACAGAAACCTCTTCTTGGTTGATATGCAGGTGCCAGCTGATTTGTTCGTTGAGCTGTGGAGTTGGTTAGCAAACGTTTGACCACCATGTGAGTTGACTTCGTCAGTCGCTACTACTCCTTTCGTCCATATAGCTTCTAAACTGGAGCGTAAGTAGTGAAATACACTCATTTGCAAACAAATTTGGTTTTGCGAGAGACTCACCTGGAACCCAGCTGAACCTCTCGCTTCTGATGTTTCTAGGCAACTGAATGTGTTGCGCCAGGCCGCCTCATGTTTCAGTCGCTACGATATTCGATATATGGCGGTACATGTGTATTCATAATACGCTACTCACAAGGTTGCTGAAAATTCTTCGACAGCCCATGACCGGTTTCGCCCTTTTTGGGGCTCATTAGGTAGGCGCAGTCCCCGAGTTTTCCGTCAACCTTATGTTCTACTTGAAACCAAATTGCACAAAATTAGCGAAATACATTCATTTGCAAATAAATTTGGTTTTGCGAGAGACTCACCTGGAAACCAGCTGAATCTCTTGTTCATGATGTTTCCAGGAAGGGCGAAAACGGTCGCGGGCTGTCGAAGAATTCTCAGCAACGTTATGGGTGGAGCGTACGTAGTTGATTTAGAATTAGCTGATTTGATTGATCCTTTGGGGTCTGATTATCTTGCATTTGCGAAGAATGCACCAATGGTACTGCAATTTTCAGGATTCATCTCGGAGGTCGCAATGCGGAAGCTCGGATGATCTGATGTTCAAGGCATAAATCCAAAGCTGTGAACCGTTAACTTATACCTCTATTATCAGCAAATTCAGCTGCGTTGGTCATTACTGTCTCCCTGAATGGGGATTCTGAGACGAGACATATACATTGTTGGGAACATTGTCAGACATGACCCAGTCGCGCCCTCAAAGGTGCTTATGCATCCAAGCTATTACCTTCAATGCATAGCGCCCTTCCCAATCTCCTCACTTAAAAGTCCACTGACAGTTCTGTATTCACAAATCAATTATATCAGCTCCCACTTCCAATGCGCAGCTACCTACTCCACCTCCTCAAGTCATCGACCAACGAAACCGTGGCATCTATAACGATCGTACAACGAGTATGCGATTCTTACAGCTGATAATGATGATGATGAACATATACCGCACCTTCGTCAGCACCAAATAGAGCGTACATCGGGAACACTAGTGAGCGATGTTCTCGGTGACGTTAAATTTGCAGTGTAAGAATTGGAAGACGGAAACCGATACTCCTCAACTTGCCATAAGATTTTCAACTGCGCAACTTCAAACCTATTTTCCCTGGAAAACATCTCAAGAATCAAATGTCCAGATAGCATAGTAACCATCCGAGCTACTATAAACGGAGCTGCATGCCGATTGAAAGAATTCAACACCACGGAATCCAAAGTTAAGGAAGGAAGAAAGCCTTTGAAAGCTGTAATTATCTAAAGTACTCCATCTGGGGGCCTCTGAAGAAACGCAACTCAGTCTACTCAACACTGCGAACAGAAGTCGAACAGATTTCACTCATGCACCATACAAGAGTTTTCCTACAGTGGAACATGGGAATAGCATGGAAATCTACGAACGCACTTCGGAAGGTATTTTCAAAGCCAAAAGGAAAACTGGAAACAAAAAAGAAGACAACCATTGTGCACGAAATCCAATACGAGTGGTGGTGAACACTACATTGGAGAAACGGGCCGCGCCAACATGGACTTGCTCCGTCGGAATGCTCATTTCACACTTGTCTTCCTAAGGAGGAGGATCAGGAAGGGCTTAAACTCAGTTGGGCAGATTTCCACATACTGGCTCAGTTGAGAGCAAAAACGAATGTGAATTTATGTGGACGTGATATTCAAAGGATAAGGCCAGCATTACGATCTATCTACCAACTTCTCAAGAACAGAGGAATCCGGAATACTCAGACTCAAAATCCTTCAGGAAGCCACAGAATATACTATCAGAAGCCACTACGATGGGGTAGAAACAGCCAGCATGCACAGCTACGCGAAGGTCAACGAAATATAACAGAACACCCAACGGGGAAACAAATGCAAATTTCGCCAAACACAAGGGTACCTTATGAACTGTTCTAAACACAAAATTAGGGTACAACGCTACGGAAACCGCAAGTTGTCCAATCAAATCACCTACTCATCAACCACTCACATTACTGATATTACTCCTTAGAAGCTTTATAAATTGCAGCAGAACTGGGAGAGTTACTTGTACAACTTATGTCCCTTATCATGCCGGCCAAATGTTCATTTGCCCGTTACAAAACCAGCTGCCACCTGATTGACATCCAATAAGCTTATCCGAGCTACAAGCGTAACGGCAGATTCTACTGGTGGGGCATGCAACTTCGCTTCGCTTGTAACAGAAGGTTGGGGTTATTACAAAATTTGTCGAACTGCTTTGCAGCATTCCTTTACAATTGCGTGACAGTCAGTTAATATCCTGGAAAGTTCAGGAAGGCGCGTGCCACAAGAAAACGGATGTTCAGTTTTTAAAAAAGGTGCATATGGGAGGTTTACTTTCCTGTCCACTAGTTAGTAACTAGTTGGTGTTTCCCTGTAAACGACTCCGCGGTGAATGGCTTTCCTCCTTTCACCAGTATTGGGGCGTATAATCAGCTTTTACACTTCACTGTTGCACGACTGTAAAGGCCTATTACAGTATGAAAATATCATTGACACGGTGTGGTTAAAGTTAAGGAATACTATGGTTTCCAGATGTGCTTACGATTTTCAGGTTAACACTTGGATGATAGTAGGACACTGGCATTCTGGAACAAATTACGACGGACGAATCTACTGCCATGTTGTAGCAATCAGTAGGGTATCAGTAAGACAACGATTATTATGAAACACTAGTTAACGACTCAATGCGCCTACAGATGCCTTCTGAATGCACTTGCTCGGTTCGCGTAAGTGAATTGCACTTACCTTTGCGGTGACCAGACATTGATATTGAACTGATCTTTGTGGGCTGATGGGCGTATGGTACAGTATTTGAAATGGGCTGTTCGAGTTAATCACATCACTTGCACCATCCAAGGGGGGCGACCCCAGTTATCGGACTCTTTTGTGAATGTATCAATGCCTCATACGATGGAACCTATTTCGAGCAGACAGTCCACAGAAGTTAGTCAACTGGCTCATCCGTACTCTGAATACATTGTAACAGCAATATCTCAGTCGAGCAGACTTCTTACTATCTCAAAGCTTGGGCAGACACCTGTAGGCTAACGTTGGAAACTGTAGCAACCAAAATCGTTCGAGAATTGATATCTGCTAAGGTTGTTTGTAAGCTATTATCATTACCTGAAACAGGCACCTATAACTGCACTCAGAACGATAGTATGTGCATTCTTCGGGGGTACTTGGAGTTTTTGACGTGGAGGCCATGATATCTCTAGGGTCCAGTATGTGTGGGGCTAGAAGTGATTGCTCGTCTTTGTTGACCAGCCCATATTGACAGATCATCTGATCAGTTGTCCTGTAGTGTTGCGGACGGCTTTTGGCAGCAACTCGTTCGTTTACTGATTTGTTTCAGTTGCGTCAGCTTCACCCGTTTAGTTATATAGTACCTATACCAAGTGATGAATTGCCTTGTCTCTTTCTGTTTGTTGAAACGAGTTTCGATTGAGTGGGTCCTCTTATGAACTGGAGATGATTTATGAAGAAGATAATGCTGATGGTCATCATCATCGTCGTCGACAGCATGGTGATCGTACGTGTGACCTGCAACGTTGGAGCATCCGAAACCTATTCCACCAACGTGTGAAAGCTCCCCACTAGTTGACTTGTCGCGCAGTCACCCATACTGTTTAATCGTTCACTTATTCCTAACCAATGACGCGTTTCCGCTAATAGATTTGTTGCCTTTGTTCTCCGCACTCACCACCCCTGGCTGGACCCCGTTCACATCATCCGTTGCCAATTGCTGGGGGTCGGGGGTACTTGTGAATCCGCTAGCAGTGGTTCTTTCAATTGTGCCATCATTATCCCTATACTAGCTACCGCATTTTTACTAGCGTTTGTTAGATTCAGAAGTTATCCAGCACCAATATCGTCATTGTTTCATCTTTTTTGTCTTTATTTCACCCTTAGCGTCTTTTGTACGCCAAATACTTTTTCTCCCTGACATCGGCTCGCCGCGCGCGCAAGTACCGTGTACCGCAGTTTCGTTTGAACAAACTCAGTCATGTCAAATGTTGGCTGACACTTCGATCCTACTTGAAAAAACGTGGTCCCCAACGTTCCGTGGAGATGATCATTGCTGCAGCGTTCTACATCGTGTTTGTCTTTGGCTTGGCATTGTGTTCCCAGGTAAGTATGTATACGATCCAAAATGATTTTCGTCGTGACCGAAATCCGGTTCCTTTTTACTTGATTGTTCAGGTCAAGTTAGTTTTTGTTTTAGTTCTTTCATCTTGCAGGCGTCAGGCTGTAGCATGCTCATTTTCTTTTCCCATCTTGCTAATGACTTTGTCTCTTTGGGTGAGGCCTCCTTCTTTGAAAAATTCTATTGCTTTGCACCAGAAATCCGGTTTTTTTGCTGCATCCCCTCGAGGAGTTTGCTAGACATTTTCCGCTGAGCTGTTGCGTTCTACTATACGTGTCCTATTAGAAGCATCACGTGATTCACGCATATATATATTTGAGACTTTCCATCTCATCCTTGCACTTTCAGCTTTTGTCGAAAAAAGAGGAGGGTGTTTTTTCACATCTGGCCAACTGGGACATACTCGGACTGACTCTGGCTATTATGCTCTTTCTACATCGTTTCATCATCTTGGGGACGAAGATTACCAAAAAATATCGCAATTTCTCCGTGCTAATCACCGAACAGGTATGTTGGTTATTTGCATAGACATTATGTTCTTGAAAGTTGTTAACCTATTATGTATTGTCCACAATATCTGATTTATTCGTTTGGTTGCCGTGAGGTTTACCAGCTGTCCTCAGAAAAACCGGTTGATCAGACAGTAGTTTCCTTCTTTGTACTCCGCTTTTCGTCAATTGTTACGTCTTATCGAATTACCCTGGTTTTGTACATCATATAAAGTTACATGAAGATGAAGAAGACAGTTAAATAAGAAACGGAAACAAATTATGCCATCATCCATCATTAATTTCTTCCGGCCTTCTTCCATCTGTTCTTTTGTCAGTCATGCTTACCTAATTACACACTTGTTGGATATTTCGCAGGGTAGTTGTTATGGTTGGCAAACTCCACTCACTACTTTTGAAGAAATGCGATTACGAGTGCTCTTATCCCCTACCATTCTGTAACATTTACTCTTTCATTATTCTCTCAGATCAATTTGTATTTGAACATGGAAAAGAAGCCGCACAAAAAAGATGAACTCACATCTACTTTTCAAGTATTGCGCCTAGTTGAAAGCCTTCTCAAAGAGGTGGATGGTCCTTTCCGAGTGTGTGGCTGGACGGTGAATCCGCTTGTATACAACATTTTCAAACTAGTCCTTCTTTCCTGTTTCTCCTCATTGTTATCGGAGACGTTGGGATTCAAGCTGAAGTTGTACAAACTCAAGCTCAATGCAGCAAATTGGTAGTTGTCTATGTACCGGCTTGCTTTGTACATTCCATCCCGGTTGACTATCTCGCCTGGAAGGTCGTCGCGGGCAACAAACAGACGTGGAAATGAATGGTTTTCTCTGATGTTTTTGACATCTACATGAACTAGCATTTCGTATGCATACATTTGCTCGTAACGCCCCCATTGGTTGCATGTGATATCGTCCTTGCTACCGCGCTCCACTTCAGTAGGCCTTCTCCAGTTGAACCATGGCCATGAACTCATCACCGTTGATAGCACTATTCTTTGGCTACACTCTGCCACATATGTTGTATTCGTTCTGTTGGTCAGTACCGATGTTTCGAACCACTTATGTCTCGTATGTACATTTTTATTTTTCCATCTGTCTGCTCACAGAGTGATACTTGTTTACATTAGAAATCCAAACCCGACATATTGGCTTTTTAGTCCATCATCCATGTTTTCTCTGTTCTTTTTGGTTGCCTCTACTTGACTCTTCTCTTCTTGAGTTCCAGTCAGCCCCTCAAAGCTTCTGTGTACGTGTGATCACGTAGAATTTGCTTCAGATATTGAGCGTAGTTTTGTTACCTCAGCAGTTTACTATTCGCTTGATAGCTTGGACACCGCTGTGCCGGCTAGTTCCCGTCAAAAACCACTATTGACACCAGGATACAGGTGAGAAGCAATACGGCATATCGAAAATTGCGTTTCTTCAACGAAAAAGCATGGTACAGCTACGTTTTCCTAGTCCGTGATTTCAACGTCTACTGGTTGTCGATGTATCGTCGTCCTACTCTTAAAAAATTCACTTGGACGTCGATTAATTTATTCAGATAGCTAATAATGGCTGTAAGTCGGCTAGAAGCACTTTATCCGGATAATTCGTAAGCGGGTTGCTTCGGAAATATGTAAACACGGTAGGAATCCAGTGAACGAACTCAATCACACGCTTAACTTCATGAGAAATAGACTTTCAGTTAGCTATCTTACCGGAGGGTGGTCGTCTAAGCCATTCACTCAATCTTATATTTATATTCAAGTTTATACCATGCTTCCTCACCTTACAGCCTTCGAAACGAATTGAAATGAGGTTAATCGAGCGTGCCAAAACCGTACAAGCTGTTCGTAATATAGACCGTTATCACACCATGCCAGAGGTGCAACGCGACACCAGCGTTGAACAAAAGTGACTGTGTGCAAACCCATGCACGGTTATTCGGCACTGGCTCACACCTATATTCATTTCCAACTTCGAGGTCGCAGGTCATCCGCTGGGTTGGATCACAAGTGTCAAAATCCGGATAAACAATCGGGCTATTTCCGTTTTCGTGACAATCAGCTGATTAAACCGGCGTATTCTCGGGTACATCACATCCGGATTTTGCAACTCTAATTAGTGCATAAAGCCAAGCATAATTCTGCAAACTGTTTCGAAGTGAGAACCCTCGGGCTCCAATCTCATTGGTTCGCTATGTCAAAGGGCGACGTGGACTCTCGAACTGAAAACATGCCTCGCAAAATACGCGAGTGGTAATGACAATAAATTGTTTTGTATTCACTTTCCTGGGAAATTCAAAGATTTTTTAACGATAAAGTCAGTTCAATTGGCTGGGTTGACTACGGTTGTTTTTATACTAACATGCAAATGTCGTCATGGTATAAGTCTATACCAACATTTTAGAACCCCGGTGGCAGTTTAGGTGTGTTTGTGGATTGTCTTTTCGCTTAAACCCCAGTATCAGCGCCTTCGATTTGGCTTCCATTCCACTTTTTATAAGCTGGGTTTCGACAATAAACGTCTGCACAAATAGGGAGATATATGTAGAAACTTTCGGTGATTATGAGATTATTTATGCAAACGGACTGCAATTCACTGATCATCTGCCTACGAAAAATTTGAAACGTTTTCACTCATCACCTGAAATTATTTATAAACTAAAAGGTCACATGCAAATATTAGCAGTTCAAATGCGTTTACTGGTGGTTGATCAGATGGACGTTGGTTTCTTCACTGAGCTTGACACGTTTCTTACAAATGTTTGTCCCTAGTCTTGCTGTCTTCCTCGACTGGGGATGGAAAGTTTGAAAGCTCATTGCCAAGCTCGGCGAGCAGATCAACGGTCATCTGATTGACCACCACTGTTATCATCAAAGCACATCCGATTTACAAACCAATACAGTCAACAAGCGTTCGGCGTCATCTTCGTATTAAAGCTCTCATTCGTATAATTGTTTATGGCGGATATAATGCAATGTATTGGTAGGATACGTCTGAAAACATCCGACGGTTTGTTTGATCATCGCTTTTACTTTGGTGTGAAAGTTAGGTTTTGTAAGTACACAAGTAGACTACTACACAGTATGCGGTAGAGCATTAACTGAAGCGGTTGGTTCAATCACCTGAAAGTTCCAGTTGGCACACCTGGTCAAGTTTGGCCGTGAACGGAATTTCGCCGTCAGATTTTCAGAGCGAATAATAAATAAAGACTAACCATTAAGCTGTAACACCCTTTCGGTACCTAGCTGTCATGCCACCCGAAGGAAGCATGAGGGCTGGGATACTGTCAGGTCGACCAAGCCTAGACAGGGGAAGTCGAGAGGGAGAGGTCGGGTTCGAACCATGGACCTCCGGGTCAGTAAATTCGCGCTCTAACCACTAGACTATCTCACCACTTTCAGAGCGGCAAGTGACCATTTCTCTGGAACGGACTAAAGAGTGAATATATATATATATATATATAACGAAAGTGGGACATTTCAAAATGCTTCAACACTTTCTGGAGTACTCGCTGACCCCTTAGTTCCAGTGGACTGAGAACCGTTCGTTAGAAAGCAAAGCTGCTTGGAAGGCGCCTAATGTTCATTCATAACTTTGTGGTTCTCATGTAAGTCTGATGGGCTTTGGTAGCTATTATGTAGGCTGGATGCGACTGGTCCTGGGAAGCGATGGGGGATTCACCATGCGGATTCGACAGCATTAGTTTCCAATCCTCTGTGGGACAACTTCAAGCCACTGACCACTCGCGACAAGCACTAAAATGGTAGGTCATCAATTATCTGTGTTTCCGCCAAGACAGCTGCATTAGTGAGACAAAGCGTGCGTTCGAACACATGTTTACGAGCTTCTGGAAAGTGAAAGAGCGTAGCGTTTACGGTTTGACCCTAACCTGTTTATTCGACACAGGAAATAAGGTGAATGTGCCGACAGCTCCCAAGTTTATTCGGAATGACCAAGGCGGTTCGGTCGGCTATCTCATACATCGCTGTGTGCATGTACGAGCCTCAGACACTCGCTCATGTGACCCGGTGATTTCCTTTTCTTCACGGGGCTCTCAACCTCGGCTTTGAGCCCAGCAGCTAACTCCACTGTCGTCTTACCTCGAACACATGTGATCGTATGATTTCATCGGACAAATGCACATGAAGGTGCTTAAGGAAGAGCGAATCCCCATGCAACTGATCTGTAAGTGCAGCCAACTGAATTGCTCTACAAATTAGAACCATCTGGCGTAGTATTGGAGTTGATTTGACCCGCGGAGTTGGTGGTTCTTTGACCCTGATTTTATTTTTGTTGATATTTCCCAACATGTTACCAGTAAGTTACCGGTCTTTCGAGACACTGAGATTAGTAGAAGCGCTTCCCATCAGAACGCACCAGCCAACGCTACTTGCATAGAACACTCGCTAAATTGCCTCGGTTACCATGCTTCATGATACTATGAATCTTTTGTTGATCTTACTGAAACTTGACACACTTCTGTCACCGATGTATGTAACTCTGCTTGTTTTACGTGCTCGACCATGTTTTTTCAGCCTTGGTAAACATTGGGCTGATAATGCCACTGACCACTTTCATCCTGACTGAATTCCAAGTGAGTTCACGTGTGCTGGGGAACATTTCGAAGTACCCTATGCTAAAGACTCAGAGACTTGTGTGCTTCGTTCAGCAGTTTCTGTGAATTCTGTTGCGTGATGTACAAGCCAAGATTATGCATATATTCACTAAGCCATGTATCCGGTGCACAAAAGATCAGTTTGCATTGTGAAATAAATATCTCATATTGAATTATCCTAGTGGCTAATTCTGGTGCTGGGCACACTGTTCAATGGAAGTACCCGTTGCACAACCGAAAACGCGCTTTCTAACTGTCTCGTTACGGATTCGCCGAGAACAACCCACATGAGCTATGGTTCTGAGACAACGATTTTCGAACAACGATTGTCGACAACGATTGTCGAAGACGTCTCAGTTCCGCTGCTCGAATAGGCCAAGTGTCACAGCCATACAACAAAACAGCCCGTAATGTGGCTTGATATTCAGGGATGAACCACTCTGACGTCAAAGTTGTCTCAACTTGTCTAACGCAAACCGAGGCTTGCAGATTCGTGCACTGACCTCATCTGTCACACAGCAATCAGAACTGATACAACTTCCAACATACGTAAGATGCTCCACAAACTCCAGTACCTCTCCTGGGATAGTAAGTGGCGTGTTCTGTGACGGTATGTCCAGCAGCATGACCTCACACTTTGTTGGTGCAGAGTGTACACCAAAAGCAGTGAAGCATCGGTGTTGAACACTGATGTCATGCTGTCGATAATGATGATGATGATGATGATGATTATGCACACCAAAGGACGCGATGACTTTGTTCAGGTCATCCATAAACACACGCACCTTCTCCTCCTCTTCGAGGATAAGAATGAGGTCGTCTTCATATTCCAGATCGACAAGTTTCTTGCCACAAGCAATTTGAACACCCAGGTTCTGGAGGCCTTCCAGCGTTCGTTTCATGATTTCATCGATCACGAAGTTAAAAAGGAATGGAGGACCTGCCGTGACATGATCGACTTTTTCTGTAAACTCTCACAAGTCGGAAGTCCGGGAATACAAAGAGCTTATTATGTTCACGGTGTACCACAGTGGGTGCAAGCAAGTCAAATAGGGTCAGGTATTCTCACGACTGCCAAACACCATTCACTACATTTTCTGAAGAGGAGTTTTGAGCCCCTGACACCTATCGTTCTTTACAGTGCATACAGTATATAGTGTATACACTGTTATCGTTTGCTAAGTTTTTCGTGGTCAAAAGATCGTCGACTCATCATCATCACAGTCTCCAGTGTTGCTATATGAGCATGAAACAAGTGAAATTGGCAACGTAACACGCCGTGCGGCCCTGCTTGTCTAACTGCACTACTCAAGACTTAAACCATTCCCGTTTTCACAATGGTGGCTTTTTTTTACTTACACCAGTACAAGTACAAAGCCCAAAAATAGTTTTGTAATGCTGAGTTGTTTTGGAGCGGGATAACAAAAACATATTGCTGATAAAACTCGGATACTTTCAGTTCATCATCATCATCGACAGCATGACATCAGTGTTCAACACCGACGCTTCACTGCCGTACCTATGCCTATGCTGATGATCATTCTATATTTTTCCGCACTTATTAATAAATCCTCCTACACCAAGATAGACGGGTTTGTTCTGCGAGCTAATAGTGAGGGGCTTTCTCTCTTCAGGTGAACATGCATACATTCTGAACGCAGAAAAGTGAAATACTTTCTAAATTACCATAGGCCGAAATAATGATTAGAAAAAGATAACATAAAGGCTAACTTCACCGATTCGCATACCAATATGGATTTAACGAGACTCCATAGAACTCCTGATGAATGTCATGTTTGTATTGTTCAAAAGGGTGTGCCGCACAAAGCTCGCTTCATGTTACATCTGCTACGACATTCCTGATTCGGTAGTGTACATTCACTGCTGATAAACTTGCTCTGAGAATTGTTCGGAAATCACTACCGGTTTCGCCTTCCTGGCAGCTATTCATAAATTAGGTCGAATCCCCGCGTTTCCACCAACCGTGTGTTCTACATGAACTCAAACCACACGTGATTTCCGGACAGCATTCATTTGAACACCAAGCTGGTTTTAACGAGCCGTCTAAACGTTTTCATAACAAAATTTGAGCAGTTCTCTTCAAGGAGCTGTACAATAGTCTACCTTATCAAGTAGAGCACGAATTGGCTCTTGTGTGGTGTATTCATTTGAGCAATCTCACGAGCCAGATATTCAACTTGGATCACGGTGATCTGTCGCAAAAACTAAACTGGAAGAGAAATGAATGTGGTCGTCAAACTTTGTAAAATTTCGTTCCAGGTGCAATATGAGGTTGATGGAGACTTGAAAATTGTGCCTAATTGGTGAACTACATTGAGACCGAAAACAACCCTCAACCGTCATAGATCTTGGGAACCTTACGAGAAGTAAGCATCCTTCACGATAATATGAAGTTTATCGTATCAGCCCTGCAGATGTGTGCAGCTGAAAGGACGTTTTCTCTGAATAAGCACAAATTTTAGCATGAACTCGGGCATACTAGGTGGCCCTAATGTTTGAATGTCAATATGTTATAAAAAAAAAGATGCTGAATTCTGTTTCCATGCGATGAAAAGTGGACATTTTTTCTAATTCTTTTGGAATACCCTTACTCGCCTAATTTTCCAACCGTCATCCATGCATTTTGAATTCTGAGGTCAGTATGCAACATAATATCAAAATCATTACGCTGGAATCGGACTACGCAATGTAGAATCCCAATAGTCAAGGAACCACTCGTTTTCTAGGCACGATAAACTCTGTGTGATACTACGGCCGAGCGCTGCGATATGACTTGTCTCGAAGCAGCGGTTGCAGATTCATGAGTGCCCACTTGCTGTGCTTGCGCTACGAATTCGTGTCAACACCTACCAACCGTTGGCATAGAAGTCGACATGCACGAAGGACTATATTGCGTTCTCTCAGATTCCGAAAACAAATATTTATCTTGTGCGTCACGTATCGCAAATAGGAGGTCGGAAAATCGCTGTTTCTCCTAGAAGTGGTAAGTGCTTACATTCATTTTGAACATTCGAGAGAGGAAAAATGCAGTCGCCAGATAACCGACTATGAGGTAAGGCCTATGATTACAAACTAAATAAGCAAACTTGGGATACTCGTGAAACCAGAAAATTAACCAGTCTGGTGTAAACGCCATTGACCTTCAAGGCCACTTCAGGCCAGGTGATTTGATGTTTCTCCAGAAATTTAGTGGTCAACTTATTTTCCATTTTGACGGATTTCGAAGTTATCCGGTTACGAGGTTTTACTTCGGACTTTTAATTACGGATATGGCTTTCCACACTGATGAAATAAAATGGTGGCCAGCTCCAAGTTGACGCGATCTTTTACTCACCACTTTATGCAGTCACCACTACAAGGAGTAAACTGGAGAATGCAAGCGAATATACATTCATTTGCAAACTAATTTTGTTTTTTTCGAGAGACTCACCTGGAACCCAGCTGAATCTCTCCCTTATGATGTTCTCAGGGAATTCAATGTGCTGCACTAGGCCGCCTCATATTTCAGTCGCTACGATATTTGAAATATCACGATACATGTATATCTTTGTAATGTACTACTCATAAGGTTGCTAAAAATCCGTCGAGAGAATGCAGGCATCCAACTCCATACCTCTCATTGATGCCTAAGAAGTACCTTTATTCAGATACGTCGACACAAAATAGTCTGCTGTTATGTCACGCCAACTCATGGTCAACTGCCGGCCGAAATAACGGACAGATCGTACCAATCAGTAACTCGACACACTCAAAGTGAGCATGTATTGCAGGAATTCAGAAGTATTTCTTCGGAACAACATTACTCAACCCACCAGTGACTGCTCATTTGTCTGCATCAGATACACAAGTTGCGGAACATCGTATTTGAGAAAATCCTAGCCGACGTTTTTATTGGTCAAAGGAATCTCAATTCGGTTGTTCCAGCTTCCGACCGTTATGGTGTCGAATTGTTTACTTCAGTTGGTCCTTTACCAACGATCAGCATTCACAACGGACTAGCGTGTTTGTTTCCGCACGTCCGTGCAACCGTTATGGATATATGACAATGATAGTCACCGGAGGAAAATCTACCCTTTCTGGATGATTATTTTTACTGGATTCTGTAGGTTCACTAATAGGCCATTGCTTCCTCGTGATTCATATTCCGGCATCTTACTTTTACCGACTTTCTCCCGGAGGTCACCTTGAGGTTGCTGTGAACTGGTTCTTCTTGCCCCTGCGTCAGGCTATTGAATTTAGATGAATCTTCCACAATGAAAAGAATATTTTGAACCCATCTAATACATGCTTCACCGAGTGTGCGTCTCCAACACGGTTTTTTTTACATCAAACTTCAGTATTAAATGCTCAAAACCACAACCAACTATTTCGCAGGCTGTTTTTCTTATAGTTCCGCAACAACTTCAAGCTATTTTCTAAGAGGATAGGAATGGAAAAGGTAGTGACAAGTAGGCCAAGCGAGTAATCGATTGGATTCACCTGAAATTTCTAAATTATATGGAATCTGGCGAATATACACTCATTTGCAACCTAATTTGGTTTTTCGGGAGATTCACCTGGAACCCAGCTGAATCTCTCGGTTTTGATGTTTTCAGGCAATTCGGTGCTATTTGTTTTCAAGTAGAACATAAGGTTGACGGAAACTCGGAGACTGCGCCTACCTGAAGGGTTTCGCCCCAAGAAAGGTGAAACCGGTCGTGGGCTGTCGAGGAGGTTTCAGCATTACAAAAATATGTATGTATCCCGATATCTCGAACATCGTAGCGAATGAAACATGAGGCGGCCTGGTGCAGCACATTCAGCTGCCTGAAATCATCAAAACGGAGAGATTAAGATGGGTTCCAGGTGTCTCTCGAAAAAAAACAAATTAGTTTGCCGATGAGTGTATATTCGCTAATTTCGTGCAATTTGGTTTCAAGTAGAACATGGGGTTGACGGAAACTCGGGGACTGCGCCTACCTGATGAGTCCCAAGGAGGGCGAAACCGGTCGTGGGCTGTCGAGGAGTTTTCAGCAACCTTACAAAAATATATATGGAATCTAGTTTCAGAACCCACTGGTTGCAAGCGGCGCTTCAACTGTCCATCCATATTCGGACTCACAAATCCAGATCTGTCACCCAGCGGAGGTCCAGTGGGTCACGTTCCAAGTTTACGAAAGTTTTCCGTTTGGAAAGCGTATTAACTAATAAACTTTACTGGTGTTCCGGCAAGCATAAGCAAATCTTCCAAATGATTTCGGAAAGTTTGGGCAGAAAACAAATATCAACTACTTCCCTTGGTGGTCAGTAGCTCACCAACATTGAAATTCATCTGCCGACTAATGTGACTGTACCCGCAATAGTCAAAATAAGATTCAAACCAGAATCGACACAAACGGATTTTATTGATAACATCAAAAGAAATCTAATTCTAATGACTGGTGAGAAGTGGAGTAATATATATATGGCATAAGTTGGCAAGTTGCACACACGATATCGGCGGAATGAGCAGAAGTTTGGATGAAACTAAGCGTACACAAGCTAGCATTCAAGAATAAAACGTTTTATAATCTTTTAGCGGTATATCAATCAGTCTTATGCTTATGTTGATGATTTGCAGATGCAAAAGTAATGTAGCTTATCACCAAAAACCGAGTACCGCAGCCGTTCCAGTTAGGATTAGTAACATTGGACCGAATGTACGCTGATGACCCTTGTTGCAAAGGTCCGTTTTACAGCATTCGGTAAGCAAACCATTCCCATTCATCAGAGTGTCGCTTTCAACACAAGTGTTGACGCATGACTTGGCCACGTGTTTTACCATATCGCTGATTTTTGTCTGCACACTCTGGAAGGAAAAAGAACGCGGTCGTTCATTTGGCACATACTCAGAAGTATAGTCGTTCAAAGCCCACCGTCACTTTCATCTGATAGCGAATTCAAAATACATTGAAAAATATGTGAGGAATTTCAGTTCTTATGAGGAATGGGCGGCTTCTTCGGGCCACCGTTTCTAACTTCCACCTCCATTATCTCTTTTATGGCACTAACTGAGGAGCTGATGACATCACATAAAAATCTATGCTAGTCCAACATGTTTTGTTTCTTGTTTGCATTAGCGAAACTTGCTAACCCGTTAGCTTACTGGAGCAGTCACAAATCATGTTGGAACCACAAAAAGTCTCATCCACTGTGACTTTGTTAAAACTTCGCCTAAGCTGACTAACATGAAAGTTTCTCCCCGTCAGACAAAAGACTCTTTTTCACGCTCCATGCGTCGTGAAAAACTTTACCATTCATAACTATATTATCGAATATCACTGTTCCTTCGAATCGTACAGTTTACAGTGGTGTTCCCAAGCCGGTACAGTGAACTAAAATAGTGGTCCTAATCTCGGACCCCGGTGCTCTCTCCCAATAGATCCGCATCACTAGGAACACGAGTCAATTAATTCGGGTGATATTTTATTCAACGCCGCGGTAATTTCCTTCTTCATGAAACACCAGGAGTAAAATATTTTGGCAAGGAAAACTCATTCACTAGTTATCTACTGTGCAAATGCATTTCGAATGGTAAGTCTGATGCGGTCAGAGCATGCATAAGTTCACTTGAATTACATTAGCCTTAAATGCCAAGTCTGGATCTTCAACACCCAGCCATGACTGACACAGTCAAAAGCGATATGCGCAGAAAACTATGACACATTATGAGACGGTATGGCAGAAAGACTGTGCCATTAGCGCAACGTGGGGATGCAATTGGTCCATTATGATGGTAAAATTAACGACGTTTGCGGCAGATCACCAATCTCCATTAAGTTTTTATTCCACAGGTGACATCAGTTGATGATAGAAGGCTAGATAGAACCGCACATCGTTTCGGACATCTCCAAGACACTCTAAACCGGTAACCTCCTGGTTTACCTCTTGACCATGAGAAACCGAGCGACAAATTAGCACTCAAAAAATATAAAGCTTCATGCCTGCATTAATTACTCGCAGAGACCGCTGTCAAGTATGCGCTGCACCCAACTGCTCGTAGGCCACTTGACAAGGCTAAATGTTCCCTTGATTATGAGCTTTGGAATTCTCTCGCTTGACGCTGAAAGCCCACATAAGACTAGTGCCCACTCAGAAATGTGGGGGTTTTGTCTTGGCATATAAGATCGATCGACATTAGCCAACCTTCCACAGCCAGGGTCTTGTTTTAGAAATGTATTCGAAAAATAGACGAAATTCCGAACCACTTTTTAAGATGCGTTCTTGCTTAGAAGTTTACCCTCGATTGCAGCGATCCTTGTTGCCGCCAACAGTGGTTTGCTTTACGAAGAGAAAGTGGAACATAGAAAAGAGAACTCGCTACAAGAATGAATGCGTATGAATCAGGAAGTACTGTAAAAAGATGACATTGAATTTCCCCAGCACAGTTGTTGTCGATTGTAGTACTACTGAAACCAGCCAAAACAGATTACACAATTGCGGTAGCAAAGGTAAAGAACGCCATTCATACGAAGATATTGTCATTAAAGGACAAAGTGCCCTTGTTCCCTTTTATAAGCATGGAATCAGTATGAGTGCTTCCCGTGTACTCATTTGCGAGTCTGAGGAATTTAACGTAGTGACTTGTGAAAAAAATCTGAACATACAATTCGACAGAGAAGGTAAATGATTGGGCCATTCGTTGCAGTGAACTTAATGTGCCGCGTTTAAGGAATTTAGCGAAGCTGTCAAACAAAACGTCCCCGTATGAAAGAAATTTGCACATTCCTAAGGGTATATAATTTCATTGTTTGTGTTCTTCATTTGAATGCTTCACTAAGGGTCTATGGTGGCACTGTCAAACCAGTTTTTATCATCTGTGTTGTGTCGAAACCGGCCTATCGTTTGGACAAGTTCGGCTCCACTTATTTTGCGGTTTATCATTTTGCTGTGTAACTGTTTCCGTCTACTTGGAGTCAAGTTGTGTAGCAAGATGAAACAGCGACAGTAGCCTCTTCCATCATTTGATGTGAAACTCGTCTTTCTAAACTCAGGCAGCTAAATGTCTGTTGCAAGTTACTGAAAACAAATGTTTACCCTAAAGCTCAACTGAGCTATCAGCTACCAAGAGCATGATCTCCAATGGACAATGTCAGGTGGCCGCATAAAGGTATGATCCACCATAAGGTGCCCTTTTGGGGCTTGGAATTCTTGGTAAAAGAGGGTTTTGGGAAACACATTTCGTTCCAATTTGCTTCTGTACTACACCCATATATTCAGAATGCACCAGAGTTCCTAACTTTTTCAGCTTTTACTGGTCACAAATGTGTATAAAAATGGATGAACTTACCATACAGTAGGTGCATTTATCTTTAGACTCAACCCCTCTTGGATTCCATGGGATCGGGCAGTTTGCACACGAGTAACACTTGATTGCAGCAGCTAAAAACGATCGGGGAACAAAAGTTAATGGAGGCTAATGGAAAGGTATTACCGTGTCATTCGTGGAGTACCTGTTCGAGTAAATCCCACTTCTGTATTTTTGAATAGTTGTCATTACGAATGCAGTATTCCCACTTGAAGAACCCCGCCCTAAATAGGACCTTAACTGAAGTCGAACACGTGGAACATTCCATGGGGTGCTTTTCTAAAAGGTTGCCCATCTTGGGACCCACTGGAACCTGCCTTCTCTTTTGAGGAATATCATCTTGATGGAACCTTGTAGATGGAAAGCGATGACGCCCTGGGCTTTGTAATCATTTTTGAGATAGACATGACCTATTACTTGATGTTTTAAAAATAGCGTTTCCGTATGCTTGCTGCTTTATGGTTAATTTTGATAAGGTGTTTAAAAAATCGGAACGCTACTCACAACGAATACGAAATGCCTTTCAAATGCTTTATGACTATGAAGAAGTCACCTTGGTAGATCCTTTATTAAGCTTTAGAATTCTGTTGTTCACTATTAAGTGTATTAGCTTCTAGTGCATTTTAATGAATATATCCGGATCCACTCATCACGAAAAGACCATTGAACATATTTCTCTTGGTGCGACTGACAACTTGCATACCTGTTACTCATCATGTATTGGCTCAGTCAGACTAGCAAGTGTCAGAAAAGTCATCTTTCACTTTAAGGTTGCGTGAAATAAACCGCAATATGAAGAATAGATAATGTTTCTTGAATCATGCCTGGATGACTGTCGCTTATCAAAGGCTGGGTAGAAAGCTTTCCGTAATTTTTCAGCACTAATCGGACGGTTGCTCCTCGTCTACTCACTGGTTAATGGTTGCAGAGGATTCTGAACACCACTTGTGTTTTATAAATCAAATGCTTTGCGAAAGTACCAATTAACTCCGACTCTCACCTACTACCCACCTACAAACAGTCGAAAAATCTTATTGTACTGTTGCTATTTCGCTAGTTACCAAACACTTTCACATCGGTTTGGCTGTGATATATGAAGCCATTTTTTCAGTCTGGCTGCCGTAGAAGGAGAGGAAGGTGTGTTGTTCGAAGTACAGCCAGCTAAGGTATTTTGCCAAAACAATTTATTCAATAGATTGGTTAGGCAGATTTTGAAAGATTCACCAAGCCAAAAGTTTGCGGTTTATCGTAAACTCACCAAGTTATTTAGATAGCTCGCACTCAGCGCACTCGTTCATTACACAAGAAATCACATATGCACATGCAGCTTTACATGTCAAGTGGAAGGATTTACTTATCGCATAAAGGAATGAAAAAATGAAAGTAAGTATTGGCGGATATACACTCATCTGCAAACTAATTTGGTTTTTTCGAGAGACTCGCCTGGAACCCAGCTGAATCTCTCGCTTATGATGTTCTCAGGCAAGTGAATGTGCTGCACCAGACCGCCCCATATTTCAGTCGCTACGATATTTGAAATATCGCGATACATGTATATCTTTGTAATGTACTACTCATAAGGTTGCTGAAAATCCGCCGACAGCCCCCGACTGGTTTCGCCCTTTTTGGGCCTCACCAGGTAGGCGCAGTCCCCGGGTCTCTGTCAACATAATGTTCTACTTGTTCTACTTATGTTCTACTCGAAAGAACCAAATCAGTTTGCAAATGAGTGTATATTCGCTAATTCCGTGTAATTTGTTTTCAAGTAGAACATAAGGTTGACGGAAACCCGATGCTTGCACCTATCTGATGAGCCCCAAGAAGGGCACAACCGGTCGTGGGCTGTCGACGGATTTTCAGCAACCTTATGAGTAGTAGATTAGAAAGTAACTATTCATTCGACGACCCATGGTCACCCACATCCGAGCAGGCACGCTACGTAAGATTTGCTTTCTAATGGCTCCAAAACGACGGTGCTTATTTGTAAGTAGTACAGTCAACATCTTCAAAATTTCTACTGGGTCTTGCGGGCTGTTCTTCTTACATGTATACTTTCCGGTGAATTTTGTAAGGCCGATTTAAAGTCTGCACTTCAAGGGAAAATGGTCATCCCAACCCCCAAAGAGGAGTTTGCCTGGATTTTGGCGCCAACAGCATGGAAGTGTGGTAAATAGCTAAGCAACCGTGTCTCAACATGTACCTTAACGGACTTTGGTGGCACTGGAACGTGAGTGGCCTGCATAAAACTGTTTAATGTGAGAGGTTGATAAGATGACGGTAACTTAAAAAAAGACCACGTGCGACGGTCAGTTGGCCAGTTTGAGCCTGTTTCATTGCAACTATCATTTTTATGGCCTTACTGAGAAATGTATCCAGGACTTACTTGACGTTCGCAGTCAAAGGCAAACTGTAGATTCAAAATACAACTCAGGAGTGCCCCACTCCAGTGGAAACACTGCATTCACATTTGTCCACGCCTCCTTCCGCAACTGCAGTATTCGTATTTAAAGAGCGCATGAGATAACCTGATTCATTTGACTGGTACTGCATGCTGGAACTGATGGAATTAAGACCCGAGAGAGTACCTCATAACCCGCATAGTATAAACCACGGAGGTTGCCTTGAGCTTTTGTCGCAAATATATTTAACGACTTTTTTATCGTTTTTATATTATTTCTTTGATCAAGCCGTTCAACAGCTTCAACGTACCTTGTATGAGATTGATCACATGCGTCCAGCCCCAGTGTCTGACTTGAGCAGAGTTCTGTACGGAACTTATTTTTGAGTTGACATGAATGATGGAATTTGTAAGTGCTTCCATACTATTTGTATAAAGCAATATCAATATCTTGGCAAAGGAATCTCAAGGGGGTCCGTATCCTGATGGCGCTAACCATAGGACCTCATCAACCTTCTAGTTCCGGTATTTTCAGTACTATTATTCCACCGAAACCCCTCATTAGCCTACATCGCTAAGAGGCGAAATTCTACACCCACGTGACCTCCCTAAACTTTATCAGACATGTGAGATTACTACCTGGTACAAATATGCCTCAAGTATAAAGCGAAAACGAATGGAAGAAACCTTGCATCGTTATAAAGGAAAGAGTTTTGCGTAGCTGATAAACTGCAGGACCAGTGAGCACTGATGGATATTCAGTGCCAAAAAAGCTAGATCTGTAACAGTTGCTTTAATGCAGCCAGGTTATTTCCCCAAAATCATACCCTTTCAGAACTGATCACACGAAGACTGGTATTGCGATTCAAATCATGTTATTGTGTTATGACCCAGGGGTGCCAAATACTCGTCTATGGTAAGGAGTTCTTGTGTTCGTTACGCACTGGATGTTTAAGTATGAAGCCATGCGCCGAAAGAAGCCAGGGCTGTCAAAACTGTTCGCTGACAATAAGGACACATCCAGTCAGCAATCAAAGACCTTATTACATATATACCGTTCACGAACGATGACATTTCAAATATATTGTTGAACACAAGCGAAATGGTTTTAGTAAGCAGGACAAAACTTAACATCACTCGCATATAACTCTAGTAATCAAGAGGCGATCCTTCGTGTATTCCCTGGTGGTTCTGTATGTGGACGTCGAGGAAACTACGAGCAAATCTTAAGTCGCGATGTTCTTCAAATGACTGTGTTCCGAAAGGACCGCTTCATTTTTTAGTTGAGAAGATATCCCAGATATGGCACTGGAATCAGTTTGACAGACGTTCTCAAGCTAGACCAATTACATCAATCCTGAGAAAAGTAAAACTCACACGAACCAACATGGCGTCATTTTACTGTTTTATTACCCCTTTTACCTATCGACCAGTGTTTTCTGTGTAAAACATCACGTTGATACTACCATAGGGGTCACCGCCACACATGCAACAACGAGTATATTATATTGTCACATCGAAAAAAAGTTTTTGTGATGGTGGTCCCGGATAACTTGCAAAACGTGACAGTACCTCATCAAATTCACATCATTATAGGCCGGTACTTCAGCTGGCATCGTCACAAATTGTTCACAGATGACATCTGATGATGACATTTTTATTCAAGGGCGTATTCCTTGCAGCCACAATGAGACTGATGTGTAAATAGGGCATTCTACTCAGGCGGTGTCAGACCCAAATTATTTCACGGTAAAAAAAATCAGATTGAAGGCAGCTCCATTTAGCCTTCACAGAGACTGTTATTGACACAGTAGCAAACTACCGAGGTCTTCACAAACGACGATCTGACGAACTAATTGTTGTTTTCGGATCCGACAACCTTGACTTCCGTGATGTCTGAAAACTCATCCACAAATTAGAATAGCATATAGAAAATGCAGGGCTATAGCCTTCAGAAGACTACTACTCACTGTGAACAGTCTAAGTAGTCGAGATTAGAAGTAAGGAGAGAATATCTTCTGTCGGCAATGCGTGTAAGTAAGAAGACAGAGATACCAAATATTAATAATAAGACAGTGAAACACTAAGGACAGTGCAGTGATGTTTCAACTCTCCTTTATAACATCTTCTGCTCAATAAAGACCAGCTTTAACCATCAGAAAAGTTTGTCGTAAAGAGTCACTTTGTTAGGCAACTGAGGCAGGTTTCAGTGGTCACTTTCGTATCACAAGGAATGATCAAAACGAACTTCCTAGAGATGCTCTAGTTCTGTGATTACCATCATTATATTGGGACCTCATTATTCACCGGACTGTTCTCTGTGACCCTTATATTCTTAGAAAACCAACACTTATATGAATCGTTGAACTGTGGTTCGTTAAGGGCATTGGTACTGGTGGCGAAGCTCAACAGGGGATGGACTGGGACTGTTGTCATTCCATATAGACCAGAGACTTTGGAGGTTCCTCGAAGGATTCTAAACACGGTTAAGAGTAGATTTGTAGAGGGCGAGCGCTCTGTGCTCTGCGCTGGTGTAATTGAAGGATCATCTCCCGGCAAACAGAACCAGGGAGTTCGTCTACAAAATCAAGTGAAACGACCGCACTGATGTTTATATAGGACAGACGGTCAGAGAACTTCACACCGGAATCGGAGATCATGTGGGAAAAATATACG